GACACTTGGACCCAAAACGGACAATATCATACTAATGGGAAGTTGGAATGGGCTCAGAAAGCCCAATATTCACAAACTGGTATCATTGCGTTTTGATATATCATGGATTTTAACGTTTTTAGCCATACTATATGTGTCAGTTAGAGTCTTTTTGTTGTTTCTAGTGTCTTTTCAGGTTTTTATACGTTCGGGACGAATTTGGAGATAAGGGACCATTCTGGAGCTAAACTGGAGATTTAGAGCTGAAGAAACGATTTCGGTGTCAGACCAAGGCGTGAATGTCAACCGACACCCCTTGGTGTCGATCGACACCACACACGGCTCAGCAAATGTCTTGACGGTTTAAGAGTTTTAAAGCCCGAAGAATCAACGCAGAAGACTTCCCTATTTGCAACTTTAGTCCCTGCATGTTTTTGGAGTCATTATAAATAGTTTTTAGGGTTTTTCTATTTCATTATCTTAGATCTTGTTTTTGGCTTTGTAAAACTCTGTGCTTGAATCCATTGGAAGATAATTAGAGAGAGCAACATTTCAGAGATTTCAAATCTCTGTAGAGAGAAGAATCATTCTAAACTCTATTCTCTTTTTGATTTCTTTATTGCAATCTTATTCAAACATGTTTTATGTTTCATTAATCATGTCTGAGTAATCATCCTGTTAGGTTTAGGGATTCTCATTAGGGATTTAGATGAAATAGTAAATCGATTACCTGTTAGGATTAATCTAAAGAGTTCTTCACCCTAGGTTGTTCTTAATGCGAGTTCTAGAGTAGCTAACTATAACTTGATCATAGGATAATAGGTAGATTTGAGAGGTCATCTATTACTAGAACTATCTTAGCTACTAAAGGGTTCCATGAGGAAAAGCAGGTCAGGAAACACCGATTTACGGATTTCCATAATTCTCTGGACTGTCATGGGATTCCCCAACCCACAACAGTTTCAGCTCACCTTTTAACTAGAAGACAAACATTTGGTCAATCACCTTCTCACCAAAAACCAAACTGCTGCTCTGGAAAATGGCACAAAAGCACTTCGAGTTGGTGAAAACCTTGCCCATCGTCAAGTTATCGATTCTGTTATGTGCCCGCACTGCGGACAGAGTGAATCGGAGGTTCATTTGTTCTTCACCTATTCTTTTGCTGCCCAAATATGGAGCCAAGCACCTTTCAAGGAAAGTTTTTCCCCTTCAACCATCCGATCTATCAAAGAAGGAATTATTGCAATGAGCAAGATGACCTGTCTACCTCCTTTGGGTATCGACAGTGGCCCTCTCTTCCCCTGGATCTTCTGGACCATTTGGACATCTCGCAACCAACTGATTTTTAGCAAGAAATCCATCCCAGCAATGGAAGCCCTTGGTTTAGCCATTCTCAGGGCAAAGGAATGGCAACGGGCCCAATCACCAAAACCCTCACTCATATCTATTCGCCAATCAACCATCTCGCCTCCTATCCCAGGGAACTCAATTACCTGTTACACTGATGCTTCTTGGAAGGCTGATGAAACCGCTGGATGGATCTTCAAGAAGCGACATAACCAAATCCTCAGGCAAGGCTCAACTCCGAAGCCGAATGTCTGCTCTCCACTAATGGCCGAAGCACTGGCAACTCTCGCAGCCGTTGGAGTTGCAATTGAATTGGCCTTTACGCACATCTCTTTCGCTTCAGACTCGTTAACCCTAGTCAAAGCTCTCAATTCGAAGGAACTTCACGGGATTCTCCAAGATATCCTCTCTATCTCGTCTAATTTTACTTGTTGCTCTTTCAATTTCATATCTAGCTAACATTTTACCAAAAAAAAAATTTCATCTCTAGGGATCGTAATCGCCAAGCTGATGCGTTAGCGAAGGCAGCTCTGTTTTACTCTTGTACGGAAACCTAATTTTAATATAAGAGAATCATTTGTTTTAACAAAAAACAGTTTTATTTTAATTTGCTTAATATTTTATTTAGCCTAATTTCGAGACTGTTAGCTTATTGTGTGAATAAAAGAACTTTGTGGAATTCGACCCTTAAGTGCTGCAATTGATCTCTTATTTTGAGAGAGTAGTTCTAGGAGTTAATTTGAACCATATCACGTTTGTTTGCTGAGTCTGCTCAATTCAAGATGACAAGCTCGCAGCTCAAAGTGATTGATTCGATGCGAGACTTAGGAGACCGAAGTAGATCCATTCATCTTGATTGATGTCTCACATTGTCAAATTAACAAATTGATAAGTTTTGTAAAGCAAAAGACATAGTAAGGCGTAAAACATAGACTTACACGTACGCCACATAAGAATGAGGCTGCGGAGAGGTTAAACAAAACAATTATAAAAAATATGAGAAATATGTTGAATGAGAATGGACTTGGTCAAAGGTTCTAGGCGGAAGCATCTTCCATAGCCATGTGCTTAATGAACAATCTCACCTGTAAGTGCGGATGAGGTAAGATAAATTGCAGAAAGTAAACGAGACAAGAAATTTGTTAACAAGGTTCGGTTTTCCTACTCCCCGGGACCAAGTCCAGATTCGATTTCACTAGAACAAGAAAACAAATTTCAACTAATTCGCAAACGCGTAAAACAAGCACAACCCTCTTGATTTACCGCTCCCTTCTATAAATTGAAACCTTAAGGATAATCTCTACCCTTAACTAGACTTCCCCTGAGTCTAGATTTAATCAGGATAACCTAGCCCTGAGCTAAAATCCCCTTTAGCCTAGACTTCGAAAACAAAACCACTTGATCACACAAGCACAAACCCGCAAAACTAAGTTGCACACAATCTCACAAAAGCTCTCAAAAATTTCTTCTTTATGCCTCAGCTCTCTTGCCTCTCTAAGACGTCTTCAATTCCTCCTTATATAGTCAAAACGATTTTCTAATCACTATAGGAGAAGATTTCCAATTTCCAGAAGGAAAAGTAAATTTGCTTTTATACTTTTCTTTTTTCTCATCAAACTCCACTTTCATCAAGTCTTCCAAATCTCTTTAAGTCATTTTTTCTTTGTGATTCATCCTCTAAACACGCTCCAAACATATCTTCTCAAACCTTCTAGAAACCGACACTCACACAAAAACAGTCGCTTCTTGAATTACTTCTTGAATCATTCAGCAACTTCATCAGACAAAATCTTGTATTACTTCTGGACTCATTCAACAACTTCATCAGACATCAACTACATCTTCGTCACCTTCATTGACAATCGATTTCATCAAAAAGTTTTGGGCTCTTTATTTTCCCAAGTATGCACCCTATTGTAGATAATTTTTTATTTTCAAATATTGAACTTTAATTTTTTTTTTGACAGCAAATATTGACCTTATATGTGAGATTTTTGTTTTTAAAATTTTATTTATATATTAATATCTTTCTCTAGTGTGTGCTTCAACTAAAATGATTATTAGATGCGAGAAAACAACTGTTAATGATTGAATTATTGGCAAAATCATGACTCATTTAAAAAAAAAACTGCCACCAATAATCAATGAAAATTTTTACGTAATTATATGCTTTGTGTTGCAAAAAACCTCAGTATCTGGACATAAAGAAATGGTAGGCGTCCCGGCGAACCTCCCATACCGGCTCAAAACTCATTAGCATCATCAACAATAGTATAAGGAATAAACTCAGCTCCATACGAAACCAAAACACATACGAAGGCGGTCTCCGCCTATGGTTCCAAACTCGCATCACCTAATCTTATTTTGGCTTTGTGCTAGGATATAATTAAATCTCTCAAACTCTTCAGCCCTCTACGATGCATTCGTTGTAAAACAGTTTTTTTTGGTTAGATATAATTTTACATTAACTATGCGAGTGTTACATATGAAGTCGTCTGAATTGATTGTGTTATGTTACTCATGTTTATCGCTTGTGACTTCGGCTTATATACGTTCATGTACACATTTAATGAACCTGGACCATTATTTATTTTATAGAGCCGTAAAGTTCCTATGCCATTTCTGATTGTTTCAACACCGATTTGCAATCGTTTTGGAATATTCTTTCTTTGAGCCTTTGTTAATCGAGTTAGGACTTTTGACTATGGTAAATCGTTTTATTCAATCATTTGTTGATTCTGAAAATCACACAATGAATTTGTTTAAGTGAGGAAAACAAATTCAATGACTCTCTCGTGTAAACTCCGATCAAAGACTCAAAAAGAAGGGTGAATTTTATTGCTTAGAGACAACGCTAGGGTTTAGCTCAAGAACAATTAGGGTTTTAGTGTCAAAGTCTCGGATCCTATGAATAGAGGACAAACCCCTCAATTTATACAAGTTTTTGGCGTTTTAGAGATAAGTTAATCTTCTAAATTGATAAAGTTAAATCTTCAAGTTTCCCTTTCTTTTCGGGATCTTCCTTGATCTTCTAGGAGAATATCCTTTTCTTGATTGTGGAAGTCGGTTGCAGGCGATCTCTCGTGTCCGAGTTGAGCTCGTCTGGCGATCTCCTTCTTCGGCCCATTAACAGGTTTAACCGGGATTCCCCGATTTTCATTGAGTTCTCAATTTAATTAGTAATTCGCCCGGTTTAAGCCGGTATTGTCGGAGGTGCTAATTCCTGCACCAACATCATTCATCGACATGACTTCATTCCTATGGATCAAAAATAAGCGATTTCATTTGAAGATTGGGCATGTAAACAGATTAGTAAAAAATGTTGCTTATTTTCACTACATTATTTCAAATTTGTACAATGTGCCAGACAATCCCTAGTTGTTTAGATTCCAAGATTTTGACATTGTAACGCCCGTTAATAATTCACAACAGCTCTCTCATTGGCAATTTCTTTAATAATTATTAAATACATAAATACAAAATCACATTTTGGAATTTAAGACATATTTACAATTAAAAAAATGTCGAATCACGTTCGAAGTTCGTTGATGGTCACAACTTAACAATGACGCATTAAAATATTAAAAGTCTTATTTAATTGATCTATGATTGACAATAGAACTTGTAATGAAACTATATAGAATCATCTTCATAATCATAACCGATCAAACTCAAGTCAACATGTATCACATATTTCAGATTTACCGAAAAAGTTTCAAGGCATTGGGGTTGAAGAAGAAAATTCTGATAGCAGTCGTCTTTGGTTGCTTAGTAATTATACTATCATTCTCAAACAACTTCAACAACCAAATTCTTAATGATACAACCAAAGGTAAGAAAATTATCCATTTCTTGTGTTTTATAGTTAACTCAAAGAATAATTTTCATATTGACTTCATATTCTAATTTTCTTGTAATAGATATAGAAGAATCCGAAAGACCGGTGGATAAACTTATAGGAGGGCTTTTAACTGCGGATTTCGATGAAAGTTCTTGCTTGAGTAGGTATCATAAACATTTCTTGTACCGCAAGCCATCCCCGTATAAGCCTTCTGAATATCTCGTCTCTAAGCTTAGAAGCTATGAGATGCTTCACAAACGTTGCGGTCCAGATACAAAAGCTTACAAAGAAGCAACAGAGAAACTTAGTCGCGATGAGTATTATGCAAGCGAAGCAAATGGTGAATGTAGATACATTGTGTGGGTCGCAGGTTACGGGCTTGGAAATAGATTACTTACTCTTGCTTCTGTGTTCCTCTACGCTCTCTTGACCGAGAGAATCATTCTTGTTGACAACCGCAAGGATGTTAGTGATCTCTTATGCGAGCCATTCCCAGGTACTTCATGGTTGCTTCCTCTTGACTTTCCAATGTTGAATTATACTTATGCTTGGGGCTACAATAAGGAATATCCTCGTTGTTATGGAACAATGGAGGAAAATCATTCCATCAACTCGACTTCAATCCCGCCCCATCTATACATGCATAACCTCCATGATTCAAGGGATAGTGATAAGTTGTTCATCTGCCAAAAGGATCAAAGTTTGATCGACAAAGTCCCTTGGTTGATTGTTCAAGCCAATGTTTACTTTGTTCCATCTTTATGGTTCAATCCAAATTTCCAAACCGAACTAGTTAAGCTGTTTCCGCAGAAAGACACCGTCTTTCACCATTTGGCTCGGTATCTTTTTCATCCGACAAATCAAGTTTGGGATATGGTCACTAAGTACTACGATGCTCATTTATCCAAAGCAGACGAGAGACTTGGGATTCAAATACGGGTTTTTGGCAAACCTTCTGGATTTTTCCAACATGTCATGGACCAAGTCGTAGCATGTACACAAAGGGAGAAACTGTTGCCTGAATTTGCTACACAAGAAGAATTAAAAGTCAACATATCGAAAACCCCGAAACTTAAAGCTGTTCTTGTGGCATCTCTCTATCCAGAGTACTCTGGCAACTTAACGAACATGTTTTCGAAGCGACCAAGTTCAACAGGAGAAATTGTTGAAGTTTATCAGCCAAGTGGAGAAAGAGTTCAGCAAACAGACAAGAAGATACATGACCAAAAGGCGCTTGCTGAAATGTATCTTTTGAGCTTAACCGATAACATTGTCACAAGCGCAAGGTCTACATTTGGATATGTTTCATATAGTCTTGGAGGATTAAAGCCATGGTTACTTTATCAGCCAACAAATTTCACAACTCCTAATCCGCCGTGTGTTCGATCCAAGTCGATGGAGCCATGTTACCTTACTCCTCCGTCTCATGGATGTGAAGCTGACTCGGGAAAAAACTCGGGGAAGATTCTTCCTTTTGTTAGGCATTGTGAGGATATTATGTATGGGGGGCTTAAGCTATATGATGAATTTTAGTTCTTGTTTATACATCTCATTTCATTGGATTATTGAGTTTTAAAATCAAAGGAGAAATGCTATCTTTGTTTACAATTTACACATGTATCCTCTGCTTTAATATGTTTTTGCACAGACGACGCATTTAGTTGTTTAAAACGTTTATTACTTGTGTATGGTGTATAATAATAACTAGTTGTGTATAGTATTTACATTTACTTGATAACTTAAAATCATTAAGGCTCTACTTTAGTTTATATCCTCGTGAGGTTTTATGGAGGTTACTTTATGTGTCTAGAGGAAAAAGTATAAGTTGGAAAATACAGAGAACACTAATTCACAACGAGATTTGAAAGTCCTCTGTTTTAAAGTTTTTGATTTCAATGTCAAATCTAAGATTATTCTACTCTCGCATCAATAAATTCTATGAATAACAACTTAAGATTTTAAACTCACGTTTGAATTTAGGAAGCAAACCTAACACAACTAATAAAACTACTCAATCATGCATCATCAGGTAAAACACACAAATTATGTAAAGAAGTTCACAATCATAAATCAAAAGTAAAGAGTAAAAGGCTTAAAGAAAAGTACTTGTCTATATCTAGACACAAAGATGTGATTGTGAAATCAGATCAAGTAACTTTCAGCAATATGTTTGTCTCTCAACTTACTTGAAAAAAACGATGGCTAAAAAAGAAGAGCTACCGCAATTACTAACAAGAAATCAGAGACAATTTATCCTAAAAAAAGAGTAGTGACAACTGTCACCACCAAAACAAAATTAATTAGGCAAAAACCTTAATATATATGTACTATAACTCATGAATAATACAACAAGAACAATCGCAAAACCCTATTGTTCACAACACGTTATCAACACGAAGCCCTAGCCATCCGAGCTAACAAAAACCTTCACCGTCTTTGTCCGCTTTTGATCTCATCGTTACCGAGATAAGTAACCTCATGTTTAATAATTGTTGGTGTCGGATCCCGCACGGGTAGTTCGGGACCAACCAAAGATTGCCACATAGGCAGGACAGAAGCCCATAGAGGACAAGGCCCGTTAGACTTATAAGCTCAAGAACTTAGTCGAGGTGGTTATACCACGAAGAGGGATCGGAGTGGTTTAACCTCGAAGAGGAGACGAAGTCGAAGTTAAAGATCATTTCAGTTCGGGGCTTTTGGGCTGAAGGGCGAAGCCTACGAAGATCGGAATTAATTCAAATTTGAACGTTGAGCATTAAATCTCAAAGATCAAAACGGATGCATTTAAGAGAGAATAATTGTACTTAATTAGCCATTTAATTGACATTTTTCTATGTATAAATATAAGGGCGAATGGCCATGTAAAGGGGATCTTTTCCTCGAAGAAGAAATACTATAGCAATTTTTGTAGCAACTCATAAGCTTTTTACACATTCATTTTTGTCCCTCAAGAGTAATCTTTCCTACTTAATAAAAATACTTGAGTATGCGAATCCGACTTCCACATTTTGGCGCCGTCTGTGGGGATAGAGGATTCTTGAGTGGTCAGATTTTTCTTTACCGCATTTCCATTTCCGAGATAGGCAGCAATGTCCGGAGGAGACGCAGTTGAGCCGTCATTGGCCGAAACCCTCAAAGCCAAGCAACAAACTATGTCGGAAATGTCGCAGAAGTTCTCGAATGTGGAAAAGGTCGTCGACACGTTACAAACATCCCAGGTATCTCTTAGTCAAAACGTCAGTACTATACAAACTCGTGTTCACTCTTTAAGTGCAGGAAATCCTGTGGGAATCCGAAGAAGGATATTCAACTCGCCAAGTTCCGTTGCGCGAAATGAAACCAGCGGACAAACAACTCCTGGTGCTACTAATAATGTAGTTCAGCCATTGGAGGGAGAGACACAGCTCGAAGATGAAGTTTAACTTGCAGATCAATACGAGCAGGAAAACCTCGACCAGTTCGAGACTATGAGGAAGGTTAGCCAGGAACTAAAAGAAATGAAGTCAAAGTTCCATCAGGCTACGAGTTCGGAGCCGGATATCAATCGAGTCATTGAAGAAGCTAGGCGAACACCTTTCGTTCCACGAATCGCAAGTTTGAGAATCAAAGATTCCTGGAAGCTCAAGTTAGACCCTTACAGCGGATTGGGGGATCCAAAGAGATATCTCGCAGCTTTTCTGATCGCTGCTGGAAGAGTCGAATTGGATAAAGCTGATGAGGACGCATGGTACTGCAAGCTCTTTTCGGAAAATCTATGCGGCCAAGCTCTAATGTGGTTCACCCAATTAGAGCCGGGTTCAATCAGCAATTGAGCTATCAGCTGTTTTCTTAAAACAATATTCCATCCTTATGGACAAAAGCGTTTCGGATGCCGATCTTTGGAACCTATCACAAGGATCAAATGAGTCACTTCGAGTTTTCATCACCAAGTTCAAAGGAGTGCTGTCAAAGCTCCCAAGAATCTCGCAGCAATCAGCCTTATCTGCCCTACGAAAAGGATTGCGACATGATTCAAGGTTTAAAGAGGATTTAATACTTCATAAACCAGACACAATTCAAGATGCACTCTTCCGCGCAAACAACTGGATGGAAGTAGAGGACGAAAAAGAAAATTTCGCCAAAAGAAATAAACAAGAGAAGCCGGCAATCACCGTCCCAATCAAGAAGTTCGAGCCTAGGGAGAATAAAGGACCAAGAAAGTTTGGGTCGCAACCCTTCAACAGTATTGTCGGAGAGCAATTCCAAGGGAAAGAAAGGTCAAACACTTGGGTCCGTGATAAAAGTTTACATTGCGACATTCATAACGTAACCGGACATTTAACCAAGGATTGTAGTGTCCTTAAGAGGCATCTCGCGGAGCTTTGGGCCAGTGGAGATCTTTCCAAATTCGATATAAAAGATTTCGTGAAGGAATACCACAAAGCAAAAGATAACTCCAAAGATCAAAATTCCAAAAGACCAAAGTTATCCAATGAAGAAAAGCCAAGGAGTTCGAAGGGTAAGATCAATGTGATTCTAAGAGGCTCTAAATTTTGCCAAGATTCGATAAGTTCCATCAAGAAACATAGGCGAAATGTTTTACTCAAAGCAAGTTTGAGTGAAGAAGTCGATTTTCAAGGTGCATCAATATCATTTGACGAAGAAGAAACGCGGCACCTCGAGAGACCTCATGATGATGCATTAGTCATTACCCTGGACATTGCCAACTTCGAAGTATCAAGGATTCTTATCGATACGGGCAGTTCGGTCGATCTAATCTTTTTAAGTACTTTAGAAAGAATGGGAATTAGTCGGGCAGACATAATAGGGCCCCCATCTCCGTTAGTAGCATTCACAAGTGAATCAGCCATGTCCCTTGGAACAATCAAGCTACCAGTCCTTGCCAAACGGGTGTCAAAGATCGTGGATTTTGTTGTTTTTGATAAGCCCGCGGCTTACAACATCATCCTCGGGACTCCTTGGATTAATCAAATGAAGGCAGTCCCCTCTACGTATCATCAATGTATCAAATTTCCAGCACCAAATGGAGTGGAAACAATTCGGGGGGATCAAGAAGCTTCGAGAACATGTTATCTAGCTAGCCACCGTTTGAAGATTCAATAGCAATTAACGAAGCCCGAAAAAGAGGGACTAAGACCAAAATTTCCTAGCGGGCAGAAAAAAGATGATGTAGTAATCGAAGTAGTGTTGAAAGAAGACAAAACGGATCGGAAAATTCGAATTGGAGCAACTTTGACTGGGCAAATAAAAGAAGCTTTGATCGAGCTTTTAAGGAAAAACGAAACATCATTTGCATGGTCGGCGGCGGATATGCCTGGCATAGATCCAAGCATAATTTGTCATAAACTAAATGTGGATCCAAGTTTCAAGCCTATAAAGCAAAAAAGAAGAAAGCTCGGAGTAGAGCGAGCAAACATAGTAAACGACGAAGTGGACAAACTTTTAAAGATAGGGTCCATAAGGGAAGTACAATACCCGGAATGGGTAGCAAACACCGTCGTGGTTAAAAAGAAGAATGGAAAAGATAGAGTTTGCATCGACTTCACGGACCTCAATAAAGCATGTCCTAAAGATAGTTTCCCGCTCCCGCATATAGATCGACTCGTAGAATCCACCGCTGGGAATGAACTGTTGACCTTCATGGATGCTTTCTCGGGTTATAATCAAATAATGATGAACCCCGAGGACCAAGAAAAAACGTCATTTATCACAAGCTGGGAATGAACTGTTGACCTTCATGTATCTATTGTTACAAAGTGATGCCTTTTGGTTTGAAAAATGCAGGAGCAACTTATCAACGGTTGGTTAACAAAATGTTCCACAATCATCTCGGGAAGACAATGGAAGTCTACATAGATGATATGTTGGTTAAATCGTTAAAGAAGGAGGATCATGTTAAGCATCTAGAGGAATGTTTCGATATTCTCAATAAGTATCAAATGAAGCTGAACCCCGCAAAGTGCACATTCGGAGTCCCATCCGGGGAATTTCTCGGCTATATTGTGACAGAGAGAGGGATTGAGGCCAATCCAAACCAAATCAACGCCTTTCTAAACATGCAGTCTCCGAGAAACTTTAAGGAGGTACAACGTTTGACTGGGCGGATCGCGGCTTTGAACCGTTTCATCTCGAGATCAACAGATAAGTCGTTGCCTTTTTACCAAATTCTAAAAGGAAACAAAGGATTCCTTTGGGATGAAAAGTGTGAAGAAGCTTTCGGGCAGCTTAAGACATACTTAACTACCCCACCTATATTATCCAAACCGGAAGTGGACGAAAAGCTTTATCTGTACGTGTCAGTTTCAAACCACGCGGTTAGTGGAGTCCTGGTCCGGGAAGACCGCGGGGAGCAGAAGCCGATTTACTATATAAGTAAGTCAATGACGGATCCGGAAACCAGATATACAATGATGGAAAACTCGCACTCGCGGTGGTGATTTCGGCTCGGAAGCTGCGCCCATATTTTCAATCTCATCCGGTTGAAGTACTAACCAACCAGCCACTTTGAACAATACTTCATAGTCCAAGTCAGTCCGGACGTTTGGAGAAATGGGCGGTGGAATTGAGCGAGTACGACATAGAATTCAAAAGCCGGATCAGTATGAAGGCT